TTGATACTGTGTACGGATCTCAAAGCATATCTGTGGACAGAGGAGATTAAAGAAAAAGTAGAAGTAAATTTAGAGAAATATCAAACTAAAGAATCACTCAAGTGCCTACCCTTCTCACTCCTCCTCACGTTTTCCCCCACTCCATCAAAGGTTTTGAAAAATTGTAAGAAGCCTGGGGAATTTGGAGGCTGAGCAGCGCAGAGAAGCTTATGTTCATCAGAGAATAAGTTGGATTAAAATAGAAGAAGCAGAAGAGACATCTGATCCACTTCTGCTTCTGTAATATTGGCTTCAGCTACCTTTCTCTTGGGTCCTGACCTTCTCATTCAGTGAGATGCTCTGACAGATTGAAATAAAGTGATTAATGCCAATAAATTTAATTAATGGACCTGTCCAGCAGTTCAGCTGCAGTAGTTAATGTACTTCTGTGGCCCTCTCATCCCTCCCCACCTAGGGTGAGAAGGACAGGGAACCAATGGCTCCCAATACACTATGCAAAAGAATTGCCCAGATATTTTAGTGAAAAAGGTAGACAGGCTCCATCCCTGACCCACACTGAAATCAACGTATTTAAGGATGGGGGCCTACTAATTCAAATTCAGAAAACTATCCCAGTTAATTTTCCTGCAGCCATTCAGATGCTGGTTCATGGATAAAATTTTGGAAATCACTGGAGAAGATGAAATTAAGATCAAGATTTTATGATGTGATATTTACAGAGGTTTTAGTAGAGTTAGTTGACTTCTACAGAATTACTTTAGACACCTCCATAAGTATGCCATTTGAGTGAGACTCTAAAGTAGATAACACAAATATAAATACCTACAGAATAAACAGGCAAGTAGAAAGTGCCAAAAGCCAGAGACTAAAGCCCTCTCTAAAAGTCATAACCCATTACTGCCATTTAGAAATGAGGACACAGTGTGATTGTTCAAATACATATGAATATTAAGATATTTTAAAGTGAAATTTCTTAATTTTAAAATCATAACAACTTAGTTTTAAAAACTTAAAATACTGTTTTAATGCCTAACTGGATGCTTCTATGGGTCTGAATGTGATTGCCAGCTCCCTTTAGGTATCTGCAAATAAGTTGTTACCTTTGTATAACTTCAATCTATAATAAACATTCTGAAGTATTCCAAGTATCAAAAGATTTTAAGCACAACAAAAAATTACCCCAAATTGAGTAATGACTAATCTTTACCAAATACAATTTTTCCACTTGGCATGCATGAGGGTAGGATAGACATCCTTCTAAACACAAACTTGTATGGTGCTCAGCAGCACCCCCTCCCCAAATACAAACTTGAACACACACAGATATTATCTGCCAGGGTCTATCTGTATGATGTTATACACACCAGGTGTTTGTTTTAGGCTGGAGGAGGGCACCTTATTCAGGGAGACTTGGGATAATGAGATAATGAAACAACTACTACTACTGTCAGTGCTTCCTGAGCTGTGGTTTTTGACTCCTTGTGGAGAAAGATGTTAAAACCACAGGATAAAATAGCTGTTTCCTTGAGTCTTTATGGGACTCTGAGTACAAGTGCTGCTTGGGGGCCTGGGTGAGAAAGTCAACACAAGCCAAGAGATTGGTATTCTCTGCTTCTTTCTGGTTACTCTACAGCTCCAGCACCTGGAGGGCTGAAGGATAATATAGCTTCATTTGGTGTCACCTGGGATGCTGCAGCCTTTATGGAGGTGGGGTCAGGGCTTCAGCATCATTTGGAGTGGCAGCCCTGACAGTGCCAAATGATCGACTTTGAGTCACTTGTGAGCAGGCACCACCTACAAAGAGATCACAGTTGATATAAGCCAATTTGTTCCTGTATCTCAATGAAACTATGCAGGCAACTCCCAGAAAATTGATGCCTCCCCACCACATACCTACCACCATCACAAGCCATGGCTGTACTGAATGTCTTATTCACCCTAATAATTTCTGTTAAGGATAGACCTAAGCCAATTTAGCCATTCAGAGTCATCAGGTTCTCCTTGGTAAATATTGGTTGCCTCCAGTGACTAGTGATGGCTGCAGTCAGTTGTTTTCTCTACAACGTTATTGCTAGATGCTATGTTTAAAAAAATACAAATTCTGAAACAAGTACCAATATGTATTAAGGAGCAGGCATCAAAACATGCAAACAATGAGGTCTTGCAAACTTGAGGAACTGCTAGCTCTCCACCCTTCCCACTCTTCTCTTTTGCACACCACAAGGCCACTAATAGCTCACACTGAGACAACCCTACAAATACTCTGATGGCAGAAAAGCAATGTTTCTAGTCTCATAGAGCAAATAATTCTCCATCAGGTGAGAAAGTTGGGAATAAGGGGAGTTTTAGAGCTGAGGTGCTACTCAAAAAATATTAGCCTGCTGGGATCATAGAGGATTGATCATGCAAGAGTAGATTTTTCTGTACAAACCTTTCCAGACAGCATCTATTGAATGCTATTTATTTCTCCAACAATATATTTTTAATATTCTTTATGTCAGTTAATAAACCCTCCAGTACTCAATCAGACTGTGATATGTGAAACACATTGTGTGTAGCTACTTCTGTGAAGTGTGAACTGTGGTATAAAGTTTTCTAAATTCTAAACAACCACCTCTGAAGCATCCTGAAATGGAAATTACTGGGTAACATTCTTTACTTATGTGATCATCCCTGCAGTACAGATTCATGTTAACTTGCACACACATCCACACCTCACACTCTCCAGATATTTTTAGATAATAAAATAATATCCCACAGAACACTATTTTTTGCACAAGGAACCTACTTTATAGTGAATTAACATTACAGTAAAGGAGATCAAGCTGGTGGATTTCACTGATCTTACTCTCTATTCAATTGTCTAGAAGCAGCTGGCTCTGTAAAATAGAATGGTATATGAAGACTCTGGCACAATATTAATCAGGAGAAAATACCACATGAGACAGAGGTGTTGCTCACAGGCTTGGTATCCCCTCTAAACAGCAACCAATAAGCGGCTCTTTCCCCCTGGATACACAGGCACAGAATACAACTGGTTGAAGTGAAAGGAGTCCCTCTTATTTTTATGCACATAATGGTCTTCTCACAAAATTTCACCTTGTGCATCAGCAAATATATACCTCCTTGATAAGCAAGATCACTTTTATTGGCCAATATCCTAATATTATAAACCTCTTTTCCTCCTGTTGACTTAGTGGCTGGAGAAGCCCAGATTTATCAAGTGGATGTCTCAGCTTCATATACAATGGAAGCATTGTTTATTCTCCTGCTGGAAGCACCAGTATTCTCCTGAAATATTAAAATCTTAAAACCATGGGAGCCTAAGGTTTATCTTGTATTGGACAATGAAAAGAGTGGTATATGGCAGTAGTAACACTTGTTGCTTGATCACTGAATATGGTTTGGCTGTGTCCCCACCCAAATCTCATCTTGAACTGTAGCTCCCATAATTCCCAGGGGTTGTGGGAAGGACCGGGTCAGAGATAATTGAATCATGGAGGCAGTTTTCCCCATACTATTCTTGTGGTAGTAAATAAGTCCCACGAGACTTGATGATTTTATAAGCGGTTTCCCTTTTCGCTTGGCTCTCTCATTCTGCTGCCATGTTAAGACGTGCCTTTCCTCCACCATGATCATGAGGCCTCTCCAGCCACATGGAACTGTGAGTCCATTAAACCTTTGTCTTTATAAATCACCCAGTCTCAGGCATGTCTTTATCAGCAGTGTGAAAATACCATTATTTGAATCTCCTTTCAATGTTTGGGGAATTATTGATGAGAAGCACAGCATACCCCACCCCGCCCCAACTATAGAAGCTGATTATTACAGGTAGCCACGTTCCAAGCCTCTTTTGTAGTTAGTGCATGGCACATGGTCTAAGCATAGCTAATAACAAGCACTCATTCTGGAATTTGAGTGAGAAACTGATGAAACAAAGAATTAAGATAGGAGGAAACTTCTCTGCAAGCAGATGAGAGGCGCATCTAGCTTCCCAGGTAACCAAGCCATGAAATGCCAGCAATAGCATCCAGTGATGAGTGTCACAATGATCATACTAATTTTCTATTGCTATATAAAAAATTATCACCATCTTAGTCCGAAAAACAACACACACGGATTTTCTCACCATTCTGTATGGCAGAAGTCCAGGTGGGTATCACTGACTTCTCCATTCCAGGTTTTATAAGGAAGAAATCAAGGTAGTGGCCAGTCTGAGCTAATATCTACAGGCTCTGGGGAGAATCTGTGCAGAAGAGTAGCTCTTTCATGGTTTCCTGGTGACTTTTCATGTATTTATGTAGCTCACGCATGCAAAGGCTTGAACCACAGCTTACCTGAGCCTTAGAAGAATGCTTTGTGATCCTTCCAGAACAGGAGAGGCTAGGAGCATGATGAGGAGCTTCTGTGAGGCCATCTCCCACTGAACCTACCTCTCCCAAGAGGCTTTCATGAGATGATATGGTTTACTGCAGCTTCCCAGGTTGTGATGAGGCATGGGAATGTCTTCTCTGCTCCCCTGAAAATGGAGCTGTAGGATACAAGACTGCTTAGCTATAGCGTAGAGTTAGCTCCCCAGGAACACCATAGCCCACAATCCATATTATAGCCCCCTTTTGTTTCTGTATAATTCTTTCTGGTGTGAGGGATGAGGACCATTGGGAACTGCAGCCCTTGGTTAATCTCCCTCTTGCTGTCTATGTAAGTAAATCAGCTGTTTGAATCTAAAAAGTGGCTTGTTGTATTTTTACTAAACAGTAAATGAGACTTGCCTTGTCTTGGGTGGGCTTGGAGACCTGCTTCCAAGCTCATTCAAGTTGTTGGCAGAATTCGGTTTTTTTGTGGATGTGGGCTGAGTCTCCCATTTTTGCTGACTGTCTGCTGGGAATGGTTCTTATCTCATTAGGCTCCAGTCAACCCTCATCATGTTGCCGCCTCCATTTTCACACCAGCAGTGGTGCAAATCTCATTCTTCAAATCTCTCCAACTTCTCCATCAGATCTCTTCTTTCTTCTTTCAGAAAAAGTTCTGTTTTAAGGTTCATATTATAACATTGGCCCCACCTGGGTAATATGGGATAGTTTCCCTATTTTAAGGTTCATAAACTTAATTACATTTGCAAAGTCCCTCTTGTCATGTAAAATAACAATGTCACAGGCTCTGGAATTACGGTGTGGATATCTTTTGGGATACATTCTGCCAATTAAAATTGGAAATGATGTTGGCATCTCATGAGACCAGATTTACGGCACAATTTTGAGTCTTGCTATGCCTAGATGGCTTTCAAGCTTGGTTCTACAGCACTTCCAGCTACTCAAGCTACTGTGAGCTACTCAATATCTCTCTATAAATCCCTCTCCTGCTTGTCAGAGTCAACTTTTATTTCTTGCAAGTAAAATTCTAACTGATACCGATCCACATCATTTTTAGCACTGTTGACAAATATTGGATGACATTTCTTAGGGCTTAAAAATTTTTGCCAAATGATCATAGCCCATAGACTGGCTTACAAATATATCCTTTATGACCTTCTAATAACAATGACATCTTGGCATAAAAAGCTTCCTTTTCTGAGACAGTCCCCTCTGGGGCTTGTGGTATCAATGTCTGTAACTGTCTTATGAAATAATTCCTTATTCTCGACTGACCATTATTAGAGAAAACAATTGAGAAAGTAGCCACCCAAAGACAAACACCTTACCTCTCACTCCCAGTAAGAATCTTCCATCCTACTCTCGCCTCCCTCAGTCTTATTCTCAGTCAAGGTTATTACACAGACATCATCTGAAATTGCAGAGGAAGCAATCACTCCATATCATTTAACTTCTTGCAACTGTACTTTGAACTAATTGTTCCCCTTCCTCTAGGAGCCATCAGAGGTAACCCCACAATGTCTTGCATCCCTGCTGGCCTTAGGTACCACCTGCACTCTTGTCCCCTTCCTGCTTGGAACCCCTCATAGTCTGGTCCATTGCCTTCCCCTTCCTGCCCATGCAAAGTCTACACTATGCACATTAGATGGCCTCACCTGGAAACAGCAAGTCCATCTTCAACAGTTGCTGATTGTGCCTTTACTGAAAGCTGGTTTTCCCATTTCTCCAAAACTCCCCCAGTTGGAGGCCTTTTATCTCCCTCTCTCATTTCCCCACACCGCAGGGCCATGAGGCAGCATAAGTGTTCTCTGTGCTCCCTCTTGCCTCTTCCATACCCTTTCTCCTTCCTCCTGCAATATCCCAGCTCCTCCGATACTGAAGCCACCAGAATATACCAGAGATGCTGCTCCCTCCTTGCTATCATCTGCAGACATCTCATTCTCATCTCTTAACTGAAGAGGTTACCAAGTAAAATGGCTTACTCCTAGATGCACAGGAAGCCAATATCATATCCCTGGGTTTTTGAGAAAAGAAAAGCATTTTTTATTGCAAGTCAACCAACAAGGAGACTAGAGTCTAGCTCAAATCTGTCTCCCTGTACTGGCTCTAAGGCAGTCATTTTATTAGAAAAGGTTTAGGGGGTGAATTCTGAGATTAGTGGGTGATTGGTGGGAGGAAAGAGGAGGACTAAAAAGTTCTCAGGCATGCACAGGTATCTCTTCACTGCCTTCTCATCAATCAGTCACGTGTGCACATTTGATGGGCATTATTAGTATGAAACATGTGATCGAAATTTGGGCTGTGACATCAGCAAGCCCATTCTGCATAGACTCCAGTTGGTCATATTTGTTCCAATCAATTATAGTCAATGTTTGGCAGTCTTTGAAATCTCATGAGTGGGGGGAGCTTCAGCATTTCAGCAAGTCTTTTGTTGTTGTTTAATCTGCCATCCTACAAACTCATGAATATCTTAGTCATTAGTTTCTTTAACTATTTTGGGCACAGTTTCAATTCGATATGGTTTGGCTGTATTCCACCCAACTCTCATCTTGATTTGTAGCTCCCATAATCCCCACAGATTGTAGGAGGGACCTAGCAGGAGATCATTCAATCTTGGGGGCAGTTTCTCCCCTATGGTAGTGAATAAGCCTTGTGGTAGTGAATAAGTCTCACGAGATCTGATCGTTTTATAACAGGTTTCCCTTTTTGCTTGGCTCTTATTCTTCTGCCTGCTGCCATGTAAGACGTGACTTTGCTCCTCCTTTGCCTTCTGAGACCTCTCCAGCCATGTGTAACTGTGAGTCCATTAAATCTCTTTTTCTTCTAAATTACCCAGTCTCGGGTATGTCTTCATTAGCACCATGAGAACAGACTAATACACAATTCTTGTGGTCTCTGCTCAGATTCCAACTTCTTAAAGGAGCCTTCCATGCCAACCCATCTGAAGTCACTTTACCTCCACCTCATTTCTTCTCTAGCCCATCAACCTGCTCATTTCCTTCAGAGCATGTATATTCTGAAGTTTTTTAAATTACTTTATTCATTTGTTTAGTGTATGTTTATCCTCATTAGAATAAGCAAGGTTCTCATCTTTCTATTTCACAGATAGCCAAACTGTTTTAATTACTGTGACTTGATAAACTTGGTAATACTAGTAGGACAAGTTTCTCCCCGCCCCCCTTTTTTTTTTTTTTTTTGACAGAGTGTGGCTCTGTCGCCTAAGCTGGAGTGCAGTGGCACGATCTCAGCTCACTGCAATCTCCAGCTCCTGGGTTCACGTCATTCTCCTGCCTCACTACAGGTGCCCGCCACCATGCCCAGCTAATTCTTTTTTTTTTTTTTTTTTTTTTTTACTTTTTTACTTTTAGTAGAGACAGGGTTTCAACGTGTTAGCAAGGATGGTCCTGATCTCCTGACCTCGAGATCCGCCCGCCTCGACCTCCCAAAGTGCTGGGATTACAGGCTTGATCTTTTCCCCTTTTAAGCTTTTCAGAGGAAGTCTCTTTTATATGGATGTTAGAGTTCAACTTATTAGGGTACTTTCAATGTACAATGACAATGGAGTAAATCATGAGTGAAAAAAAAAACTTAAATTTGATTATATAAAAATACAAACACTTTGGGAGGCCAAGACAGGCAGATCATCTGAAGTCGGGAGTTCAAGACAAGCCTGGCCAACAAGGTGAAACCCTGTCTCTACTAAAAATACAAAAATTAGCCAGGGGTGGTGGTGCACGTCTGTAATCCCAGCTACTCGGGAGGCTGAGGCAGAAGAATCACCTGAACCTGGGAGGTGAAGGTTGCAGTGAGCCAAGATTGTGCCACTGCATTCCAGCCTGGAAGACAGAGTAAGACTACCTAAAAATAAATAAATAAATAAACAAACAAACAAAACAAAACAAAACAAAACACAGAAAGAACTTTAGCCTGTTGCAAAACACCAGAACCAAACTTGGGAATAGTTAAACAATATGTAGCAGTATTTGTGTTCGGGTTTCACAGAGGCTATGAGTCCTCTTAAGGATTCAGGTCATACCATCCTCAGGACCAGCCTCAACCTGCCATCAAACTCCCAAAGGCCCCACCACCACAGAATGCTCAGGGATAGGGAAGGGATGCTGCACACAGCCAATCACTTGGAAATATCTGGGAGCCAGTAAGAAAGAGAGAACAGCAACCCTCAGCATAATCAGGATTTAAATGTGTCCACAGATCTGACAGATGGGCTGGACAGAAAGCAGGAAATGGAGGAGTGTGTCTGGAAGAAAGGGCTTGCTGCTTGATGCACTAGAAGCCAACATCATGGCCTTGGATTTCTGAGCAAAAAAAAAAAAAAAGCTTTTTATTTTAGAGCAACCAACAAGGTGAGTGGAGTCAAGCTCCAACTCTCCCCCAGGGCTGGCCTGGTATTTTTATTAGAAAAGGTTTAGGGGGTGGATCTGGGGATTAGTAGGTGACTGGTGGAAGGAAAGGGAGGTCTGGAAAATCCTCGGACCTGTGTAGTTGTCCCTTCATGCCTACTCCTGGGTTGTATGCATAAATTCACAGGGAGTTAGTATGAAGCATGCAACCAACATTTGAACCAGATTGTTCTGTGCAAACTTCAGTTGGCCATATTGGTTCCAACCAATTTCAGCCAGTTTTGTTATTTTATAAGCAGAGGGAGTTGTAGCATTTCAGAAAGCTGATTTTATTTTTTATAATGTCATCATGTAAACTCAATAATTGGCCACTCGTTTCTTGACCTCAAGAATTGGCCACTCGTTTCTTGACCTCTTTGGGGCACAGTTTCAAAAGTGTCAGAGCCTAAAGATCAGTGAAAAGGAGTGTGTGAAGCTGGCCTGGTCATGCCTGTTGCAGCCCCTCTATTCTTGGAGTCCTCTGCTATCTGATAAGGAAAAACCTAAGGCAGGAAGGAGCAGATGGAATTTTTTTTTTTTTTTTTTTTTTTTTTTTGAGACGGAGTCTCGCTCTGTCACCCAGGCTGGGGTGCAGTGGCCGGATCTCAGCTCACTGCAAGCTCCGCCTCCCGGGTTCACGCTATTCTCCTGCCTCAGCCTCCCGAGTAGCTGGGACTACAGGCGCCTGCCACCTCGCCCGGCTAAGTTTTTGTATTTTTAGTAGAGATGGGGTTTCACTGTGTTAGCCAGGATGGTCTCGATCTCCTGACCTCGTGATCCGCCCGTCTCGGCCTCCCAAAGTGCTGGGATTACAGGCTTGAGCCACCGCGCCCGGCCGGAATTCTGTTTCTAAGAACCCAGTGAACTGCTGCGGAAAGCCCTTTCTGAAGAGCTGGTCCTGCCAGTCAGTCACACAGAAGATCCCCTTGTTGGTTCAGGAATGTGGAGAACAGCATCAGGCTGATGGCCAAGGATGATGAGACAGAAAGAGGAGCCATCACGGAAAGGAACAGATGCCTGATTTTCTTGCCAGTTCCTCCCCTTTCCCTAACCAAGTTCTAGGGAATAATGGGGTGAGGGGAACCCTAGTGGAGTTTGATTAGGAGGTGAAGACTCTAATTTGTGGAATTTGGAATTGCTAAATATTTGTAATCACTGGTAGGTGAGGTCAAGACACCTATGAGCTATAAATAAGAGAACCAAAGGGTTAATACTATCCTCAATGGCAAAGATGTTCTTAACTCAAATAAAGACAGGACTGGCTTTCCAATGGAAAAAAAAAGTCAAATATATACATAAACACACACACACACACACACACATACACATATATATGTATGTTTTGAGACAGAGTTTTGCTTTGTTGCCCAGGCCTCAGTGCCATGGCACAATCTCGGCTCACCACAACCTCCACCTCCCGGGTTCAAGCAATTCACCTGCCTCAGCCTCCCAAGTAGCTGGGATTACAGGCATGCGCCACCGTGCCCAGCTAATTTTGTATTTTTAGTAGAGACAGGGTTTCTTCATGTTGGTCAGGCTGGTCTCGAACTCCTGAACTCAGGTGATCCACTGCCTCGGCCTCCCAAAGTGCTGGGATTACAGGCGAGAGCCACTGCACCCAGCCTATACTTTTTAAATGTTAAATATAATAATATGGGTGAAATGGAAAAGACCTAGGAGTTCCAATAGGCATAAAAATATTTCAAGCTTTCTAAGAAGAGATTTGGCAACAAATATCAAACACTTTAAAGGAGCTCATTGTCTTTAAAATAGTAATTTTATTTTTAGGACTCAACCCAAGGAGCTCACTGGAGATAGAGACAAATATTTACAAAGATGCTTATGCAGCATTTTTAATCATAAAAACATTGGAAAGAGCTTAAATATGTAGGAGATGGCTAAATAATTAAGATAATGTAATAAGCATTATGCAGTCATTCAAATGATGTCTTAAAGTAATGTTACTGACATGGAAAATATTCAATATATAATGTTCAATGGAAGAAAAAAA